TATATATATATACATATAAAAGGAAAAATTGAATGCGGGTAGCTCATCAGTCTACAACAATTACTTTTGTCATACCCACGATGTAATTTCACTTAGATGGCACATAGAATCTCAAGATAGTAAGTTGTATCAGTGTCCAATTACCTACCCACTTGATTACAACTATTGTCGGATGTTTTGCCTCTGAAGACACACAAGTCATTATTGAGAATTCCCAAACGTTCATCAAACAATGTCAAACCTAAAAGCAATTTGAAATTGTCATGTTAGAATAATTTAAAGCTCCTCATCAAAATGACTGAAACCCACCATTGACGTGCCAAGCCATCATTTGATTCTAATTATGTGGTCTCGTGTTGACATGGCATCATCTAGGTGATCCTTTTAAATATGTGCAAGATCTATCAAGTGACGAAGGAGGTGCATGTTCAACCAAATCAAGACGATAAGCCACAACTATCCATTAATACTATCATGAATGATGATATTCAAACCTAGTTAATTCGGTGATGCATTATTCTCAAGGCAGCCAAGTGGTGCCTCACCAATGCAACAATCACATATGGTGTTTTAGATCTCTCTTTTGTTTGTGTTCTTATTCTTTATTATTAAGATTTGGTGATCATGGCTAATTACATTTCTAATTGATCGTGTGACATGTTCCTCATGCTGGCGGCTAGATTGGTTCAGAAAAGCATGGAGGAAGAGAATTAATCAGAATGCATGTTTTAAATGCGAAAGGCATGAAGATTTTATTGTGATGCATTAAGATTTAGATGGAAAGAAACATGGACCACAGCCTCTCCCACATGTCGGAGTGGCACAAAAGCAAAGGTGGATGAGGATACTGCTTAACTTTTGCCATCAACTTTTCTTATTTTTTTGATGGCAAAAGGAAGACCGAGTTAACTTTCACGGAGGAAAGCACTTCATCTCTGAGACATCGAGATAAAACACTATGAAAAATTCATGTTTTCAGTGAGTGAGTTGCATGCATGAGAAACTAAAGTTGGTTGATTGTTCATGTTGACGCGACAGTGATTCTCCAGATCATAATTTCCTTGTGCAGCTCTACCAATTCATCATATTCTCCCACCCACCTCTATTTCACTTTACATCAATATTTTCCTCCTCCGAAGGGAAAATGAAGAGTCGCATCAAGTGAGTTCAGTTTCCTTCACTTCTCTCTCTCTCTCTCTTCCCTATCCTTTGAGCTTACTTTATTCCATGGTCAATAGTTCCCATGGTCCAAGCACCTTTTTGGTGTTCGATTGGACTATCTTTTTTGAAGTCCAAGGGTTTTAACAAGTTGGGCAAAGCCTCGGATGAGAGAAAAAGGAAGCTGCGAACACTGAAAAGCTTCACCATCCTTATGGTGGAGCAGTCACGAGAGTTGAAAAGAGACTACGAAAAAGACATGAGATGCCATACAATTTTCTCAGAAGAGGGAGGATGTTCCATGTCATGGAATAAGTCTCTCAAAGGTAAACTTGGAACTCTTGTTTCTTGCTGGAAAATATCATGGGCTTGCTTCAAAAGACTCTTCTTTTTGATGTTAGTAGCCCAAGCCTCCATTTTGGAGCTCAACCCCCATGATTTTTAATTCACATCTTATAAGACTTGATGTTGAACCAATTGAAGTGTTACCTCATGAACATTTTGTATTTAGTAGTTTAAGATTTCTATCTTTGTTTGCTGACATTCTTCTTTTTTCATTTTACAGTGTAATGGATTTTTTGTGACACTTCCTAGACTTTTGAATTGAATTTAAAATTTACATCCTTAGAAAAGCTACTTAAAACCAATCTTAATCTTGTTGGGGTTCAAAATCTAACCATTAGGAGAGCAATCACAGGTTTTTATGAACATCTTTGCATGAACTATTAGCTTACTACAAACTTGGTAATTTCTTTTTTATGATAATATAGCCCCCACTTTTTATACTTCCATTAAGAGTTACACAAAAAGTATTTTATATTCACACATTTACTTGCAAGCTCTTATATTTTCACACCCCCAAAATTATCCCATAGTTCCTCATATATTTGTCATTCTTTCATCAAGAGTTGCACAAAATATATTTTATTCACACAAAAGTCCAACACAATCCAAGACACCAATCTAATACATTTAATTTTAAATACATTAATAAATCCAGACGAGCGCATATGATATGTTATTTCTTTATATTTGCAGACATAAACACAAATGCAGGTGTTACTTACGGACACTCTTTTAGAACATTATGTATCAATTCCACCTGCAATTATTGCTTCTCTTGCAAGCAACTTCCTCCGATTCATCCAACCAAGGTAGCATGTAGCGACAGTGCCAATCATCCGTTTCATCACTTAACTCTCTTCTGATGCCAAGTTTTCACCATTTCCTGGGTGAAGCAGATTCAACTCAACCTAAAATCTCCCAAAACAAAATCTAAAATTCATACCTATACCCATTGTCTGTAACGACCAAACCATTATAATATAAATTCTGGGTACAATTGATAGGTTGTGTTAGATTTTATTGGATATTTCCATATCTAGATGGAGTTGGATATATACATATATATTACAATTTTGTCATCTTAAACTTTTGAATTTGTAGTGGTATGAGGTCATTTGTATCTCAATCAAAATATCCAAATGCATGAATACATATTTCAAAATAAGAAACAGTATTAGTTAACCCATTGTTGTTTATGGGGTTACCTAACGATATCCATAGAAAAACTCCACTGTCAAACCATGGCCTAAGAGTGTAAGATTTACGGGGAGAAATCCAACTTTAATTACAATCATTAACATGATGTCTCCTCTACTGTTCTACCTCTCGGCTGCTCTGAAGAGAGTGAGCAAAGAGAGGAAGAGGTTGATGATGTCGAGATAGAGAGCTACTGCAGCCCAAATATAGTCGTCGTAGGAGTACCGCTTTATCAGGTTATCGGTATCGTAGACGATGAAGCCACAGAAGATGATGGCGGCCAACCCGCCGTAGATCATGGCGGAGATCCTTCCCACAGGAAACAACACCTACAGATGAATCGGAACATGAAGCAAGTCTTAGTGCTCATCATGGTAGAGCTGACAGCATAAGCCTTTACCTGGATGAGACCGAACACGAAGAGTATCATGATGGAAGAGAACAAGAAAGGGCCGAGGAAGGTGAAGTCGTAGGCCCTCGCCGCAGCCCAGAAGGTGTAGATCGTGAGACTCACGACGACCAGCGCCGTGAGGACGACAGATTCGAGAATAACCTTCCCTGCACACAAACGTAAGAAGCATATAAGGTTGCTCGATAGAACTGCATGCATCCATCTTCTCCACACCAAGACTACTCCATGACCTAGACAGCATAGTTTTCGATCTTGGAAACAGAAACATAGTGAAGATGTCAATCCAACCGCTTGTAAAGGCACATGTCAATCCAACAGCGAAGCCGAGTGACACAGTGAAGATGCCGAGGAGAAGATAATTGAGTGGGTAGTGCTGGTAGTAGTAATACAAAGGGCATATCACTGCATGTTTAGGAAAGTTGAGGTCGTCATCAGATATCTCAAAGACATACACGCACGAGAACTAAAAACAACTCAATATGTCCTGATGACATCTCGAATTAGAACAAAGTGACTTGTCGCCTAAAGCAAAATATAAGTAATAATTTGGGAAATGAAGAAGAAGAAGAAGAAAGAGAAATGATGGGGTACCGAAGAATGGAAGGATGATGAGGAAGACGTAGAGGCCGAGGCCGGCGCTGGAAGAGACGAAGAAGTGGGAGACAGGATGGATGGAGACGACGGCAGCGGCGACGGCGACGGTGATGAGCATCTGGGCGGAAAGGATGGAGTAGATCTTCCTGATGAACGACCATCGCAGCTCTGGCGGCTCCAGCATCACGGGGTAGAGCGCCCGGATGCCGGCCTCCACGCCCCCACCGCCCTTCGCATACGGCGGCCGCGCCCACATCCTCGTCGGCGACTGAGAAGGACTTGTAGGCACCCGGGAGAGCGGTGGCGAGGATGAAACGGTAGAAGAAGAAGAAGAAGGCGAGAAAGAGAGCTAGGTAGGAGCGGTGAAGGGGCCGTTGGGCGGTCGTCCATGTATGGCTGGTGGCGGACGCGCAGGGAAGGTCGGGGAAACGTGGCGAGTGTTGGGGTCTTCGTGGCGCCGTAGAAGACAAAAAGAAGAAAGAGAACACCCACCTTCGTCAGCTACCTCACATGTGACATGGTCCACAGCGAGGACCCGCTGACATGTCCAATGCCATACCAGGTGGGTCGACAAACCTCGTCTCCAAGTAACTTAAGTATAGACAACGAAAAAACTGATTTTTTTAAAAATAAATTCATGGAAAAAATCTATCTGTAAGAAATTTTAACCCTTTATCGTGTGTCAAATTCAATTTACCCCTATCTCTGCTGCAGGGGAGGCTGAGAAGGACGGAGGAGAAGCTCTACCAAAAGATTTTTCTCGATAATTTATTTTTTTAAAAAAATTATTTAATATAAAATATATGCTGTTTTTTAGTTAATTGGGGATGTGAAGAAGTTCATTATAAAGACAAAAAGACCCACATATAAATGTTTGCTATAATTATATAATTATCGTTAAAAAATAATTTATATATAGTGACTCATGATCTAAAAATTTTAGAAAAAGTTTCTATACCTAACTCAATCATGAGTGATATGATAAGATGAGATAGCTAACATTAGATCCTATAAATAGGATCATATTTTATGAAACAAGATAGTGTGTATTTGGAAATGTCTTGTAAATGTTCTAAGACTTGTCTCCTATTTAATACTACTTCAATTTTCTTCATTGAAAGTATTTTCTTTTAATTATATTATAGTATTCTATTTTTATTATTTTCTTACTCCTCCATCCCCAATATTTATAGTATCAGAGCTGAGTTTCAATCTAAACTCGATTGAGTTTCAATCTAAACTCGGTATTGTAACTTTCAATTGCAATTCTCTGTCTCAATCCCTTATTTTATTTTTTAAGTAAATACTATAAATTTTAAAGTATCAAGATAAAGACTCTATTCAAGTCTCAAAATGTTTAGGATTTAATAGAGAATGAATATACAAATCGAACTAAAGAAACCCAATTGAAAGATAATAAAAATGGCTCAAAGGCATTATTCTTCATTCAATAAGTTGTAAATGAGATATTCTTCTCAAGACTTATAGCGACAACCTAAAAACAAGCTTGGTTGATACTTCAAAATAAATTTCAAGGTTTATTGAGGGTGATTACGCTAAAACTTCAAATCCTTCACTGTGAGTTTAAAATTTTATTCATGAAAAATAATGAATCAGTGTAAGATTTTATTTCTTCAATGATTAAAATTATTAGTTAAATAAAATCTTACGGTGAATATCTTCATGATCATATATAATTATTGTAAAAGTTTTAAAAAATTTAACTTCAAATTTTGATTATGTTATTGGCACAATTGATGAGTCAAAAAATTTATCTACTTTTTCATTTAATGAACTAATGAAATCCTTACAAGCACATGAAGCAAAGTTGAATAAGTAAAAGGGGAGTCTTCTACTTCAAAAAAAAAAAAAAATTAATAGAAAGAGGATGTGATAGAGGAGGATTTCATAGTAGAGGAAATACAAGAGGAAGAGGATATTTTTGTAGGTATAATGAATAAAAATAATCAAATTATAATAAAAAAAACAAGAGTGAAATTCAATATCACTATTATAAAAAAATTAGTCATATGAAGATAGATTGTTGGAAAAGAGAAAAGCAAACAAGTTATGTGGAGGAAAATGATTAAGGTAGTAAGTTGTTTATGGCTCATTCACAAGTTAATGATATCTCAAATGATATTTGATTTTTGAATAATTGATGTTCTACTCATATGTCAGGCATAAGATCAATATTTAGAGATATTAATGAAACTCACAAGTTGAAAGTGGAGATAACGAGTAAATCCAAATAGAAGAAAAAGGAATAGTTGAAGTAAAGATAAGCTAGGAAGATAAAACATCTTGATAATATTCTTTTTATTCCTAGTTTATCATATAACTTGTTGAGTATTAGACAATTGATAGATAATGGAGATTCAGTTATATTTAATGATGGTTAATGTACTACTAAAGATAAAAAATATGGTTTGATTATAGTAAATATTTGTATGATGCAAAACAAGATGTTTTCACTTGATATTCTAAATATTAAAAAGTATGCTCTTGTTACAATTTAAAAAAAGAGTCTAATTTGTGGTATTTAATAAATTAAGACTTTAATATTAAGGGTTTAAGATTGTTAAATAAAAAAATAATTTTTAGATTGCTTAAAATTAATACACTTATTGTATGTGAAAGATGCATTTATGGAAAACAAAGCAAGAAACCTTTTCCTACTAGAAAAGCATGAAGAGCATTTAATTATCATGAATTAATTAATACTAACTTATGTGGACCTATAAATATAAAATTATTTAGTGAAAGTCAATATATTCAATTGTTTACTAATGATTATAATCGTATAAGTTGGGTATATTTTTTGAAATTAAAATTTAAAATATTTGATAATTTTTAAAAATTCAAAGCACTTGTAGAAAGGCAAAGTAATATATGTATAAAAATACTTCGGATAGATAAAAGTGGTGAATTTTTATCTAATAAGTTTAACTTTTTTTATGAAGAAAATAATATTTACATGAAATTAATAGCACTACACACACTAGAGCAAAATAGTATAGTTGAACATAAGAATCAAACTATTATTACACTGACAAGAAGTTTACTTAAAAGAAAGTATCTTCCAAATCAGTTTTGGGTAGAGAAGCAATTGCTACTAGGAAATCATGGGTCGACATCTCATGCACAGTGGAAAACAAAAATAAAAAAAAACTAGATTTTCCAAAGTCAAGTACTTGATCGTTATGTGATAATTGGTGCGCGAGAAACCCGCAAAATCGAAAAACCGCACGTATCATGTTAGAAGTGTTACTTGGGGAGATCATATATCCTCGAAATTTCTAGATCTGATGGAGACCCACACAACAGACATAGTGACAATGCTCCTCAGACTGTTGTGGGTTCTTCCTCTTCATGCACTAACCACCAGAAGTTCTAACCTATGAACCATGAGGTTCCTCCTATTTATAGAGGTATAAGCAGCATAACCCATAATAGATCTCAACTTAACTCATAATAGATCCTATCCTCCTTAGATCTCTATCTAATCATCCAATTGGATCTCTATCCAATCATCCAATTAGATCTCTATTCAATCATCCAATTAGATCTCATCTAATCATCATCTCCATCCAATCATCAAATTGGATCTTATCCACTTATTCAATTGAATCTTATCCAATTATCCATTTGGATCTTTATCTAATTGAATCTTATCCACATGATTCAAACTGGAGCTCCGCGGATATTTTATATCCGCACTTCTACTTGTCGCAATATCCATGATCCTCTAAGCCTATACTGAGTTGGCCATGAGTCGATTCTATTATAACTCCTTCTGACTGAAAACTCCTTCTGATACAGTGAATTATTATCTCCATAATAATTCACTCAATTCATCAATTATGGGTATATTAGGCCACTACGCCATAGTCCCTAGACGATACACAAAGATTTAATCTATCGAACCTATCTATCCACAATTACCATATGTCTATAGCCCCTCATTCATCTAATATCTTAAAGACCGTATATTGGGTATCATAATATCAGGCCCATATGGAATCTTGTCTGAGTCTCAATCTAATCGAATTCTCCCAAAGAACTCCTTTTCTCTTAATTCGAACGACCCTAGCTAGGGAATTTATTTGAGTGAGCACATACAAGATATTCTTCTCACGATACAAAGAGTAGATGATCCTCTATTAATATTCAATTGTCTTTATAAAGTTGGTTGTCATTCCTGAGAACTAATTGTACTAAATTTGGAACCTCCAAACGTATAAGTCTAACGTCAAAGAATGGAGTAATCATATAAGGCATCTTTAGTGTCTCAAGTTTAAGGACCAAACACATAATTGGAGTACGAAATCACTGTCTAACGTCAGGTATCATTAACCATTCAGTATACTCATTCTCCAATGAGCATCTACGCTGTACTTCTAGTGTCCCAACGCGAGCGACTATGAGACTAATCACCTCCATTATATGGATGAGTATATATCACACTAGATTATTCGATTATATTGATGTCCTTCTTGAGTAACTTATGATCAGGATGATTTAGAGTCTATGTTTAAAGGTGAATCGATCTCATTATCGTGATCTCATAATGAATGTCACAAGTGTTATTACTAATATAATTGACTTGTAGGGTACTTATAACTAACAATCTCCCACTTGACCTAAAGTCAATCACCTATGTATCTGATCCCCCTCAAACCTCTATGACACTCAAATACAATCTGGGTCAATAGCTTTGTCAATGGATCTATAATGTTATTTTTGGATGTAACTCTTTCCTCTGTTATATCTCTATAGGCCACGATCTCTCTAATAAGCTAGAACCTCCTCCGAACATGCTTAAACTTCTAATAAGACCTAGGTTCCTTTGCTTAAGCGATCACTCCATTGTTGTTGCAATATATGAGAATTGATTCTACGTTGCTCAATACGACTCTCAAATCCATGATGAACTTCTTCATCTAAACCTCTTCTTTTGCTACTTCTGTCACAGTAATGTATTTTACCTTTGTGGTCGAGTCAGTAGTAGTATTTTGCTTGGAACTCTTTCAGCTCACTACTACCCCATTCAGGGTGAACACATATCTTAAATTCAACTTGTAATCATTGAAATTAAAATGGAAACTTGAGTTTGTGTAGCCCTCAACTTGGAGACTATCTCCTATGTATACCAATGAAAGATCCTTAGTCCTTCTCAAATACTTAAGGTTACACTTTACTGTTTTTTAGTGCTCCAAGGGTAGATCCACTTGATACCTGCTCATGACACTCAAAGTATATGTTATATCAAGCCTAGTACATAACATAGCATATATGACAGACCCTATCGTAGAGGCATGGGGTATATTATCTATGTTTACCCTTTTTTTAGGAGTTTTTTGGGACATAATATAAGAAAGTGAAATTTCATATCTCATCGACATTTCTTGAAAATTTTCATGTCAAACCTTTTGACAATGGTATTTGGACTAGAACAAATCAAGCATCCTCTTGAATCTATCTCTATAGATCCGATCTCTAAAATATAAGATGCTTCCCCTAAGTCTTTCATAGATAAGTGTTTAGATAGCCAAGTCTTTACTATGGAGAGCATTCCTACATCATTCCTAATGATTAGGATGTCGTTCATATAAAATACCAAGAAGGTGATAGTGCTCCCACTTACCTTCCTATATATACAAGACTCA